AGTCGGCACACAGTCAGCCTAGCTTAGACTGAAAAGTCTGAGTGTAATGTACTGGTAACTAGCCTGGCAGTCTAGCTTCATATTACTCTAACCAACATCTCTACAGTTCACTTCATATAATTAGTTTATAAAGTGCACAAATAAATATAGAAAAGGATTATGTGTCTGCCAGTAACAGCCGGTCCAACGTGGTAAAGCTTCCTGAAGTCTGGTTTTCTTCAGAAAGTTGAAGATAAAGAGGTAGGGTTAGGTTGTCAGGTTTATGGTTACTAAAGTCCAGAAATATTTAAGTTGGAAAACCTTCCTTGGATTTAGTGGGAATTAATAGGGAAGTTATCCTTTAACTCTCATTATGACAGAAGGCCTAATGTGCCAATATTCCATAACTAGTGTGAAAATTAATAATAATAATAATAATACATTTGATTTATATAGCACACTTTAAAAACAATGTAATCTCAAGGTGCTTCACAAAGCTATAAGGAGAAAATAATAAAACAAATAAAAATAAAAAGATATCTAAAGGAGCATATTGAATAAAATATGGTAATATAAAAAATAAAAAGGTTAAGAGCATAAAAGGTTTAAAAATAAATACAGTAAAGGACAGTCAGTAAAATGTGGTGCGGAACAGGCGGGTCTTGAGGCATTTCCTAAAAACTGAGAGTGATGCAGAGGTCCTTATGTTCTCTGGAAGCTCATTCCACAGACGTGGACCCAGGGAGGAGAAAGCATGGTTTCCCATGGTGACCAGTTTTGTCCGCGGAACAGCCAGGAGCTGTCTGACCTGAGTGTGCGTGAGGTATGGGAATGTTTTCTGGTTAGCAGTTCCTGTAGGTAGGTGGGGCCAGTGTGGTTGATGGCGTTGAAGACCATTATGAGGACTTTGTAGTTGATCCGGTGTGTTACAGGGAGCCAGTGGAGTGAGTGAAGGATGGGGGTGATGTGCTCTGAATTGCGTGTTTTTGTGAGTATTCGGGCGGCACAGTTTTGTAGATATTGCATTCTCTGAGTGGTTTTTGTTGGAATGCCTGCAAGCAGAGAATTTCAGTAGTCAATGCGGGAGGTGACGAAGGCATGGACCAGTTTTTGGTCAAATGAATAATGACTCTATATAACAATATAAGAATAATACACGGAGGACGGAGCTTCTCTTTTCCTCCCCCTCTCCTGACAGCCCGTCAGTATCTGTGGTCTCATGCAGCTGGCTGATCCAGTAATGAGTGACCCGACAGTATAAATAAACATATTTATTTATTCGTCCGCAGATCTACCCACCTTGGGATCCATGTCGGCCTTGTGTGGCCGAACCGTCTATCTGATAGAGAACTGTAGCAGATACGACCGTTNCAAGGGTGATGATCTAACTTGAAGTGTGTGTTTTGTGCCGCCCATCACAGCGGGCGGAGCTGCAGGTTATCATGCAGAGCTGCGTGTCACCTCTCCTGTCCGATTAGCCTTCACTCGCGTTTATGTCCATATCGATCAAATCTAGCTGGAAGCTCCTGCTGGGTGCACTGTCCTGCGAGATACCGGGACCTTGNGACCCTCCTTTGGCAGCAATAACCTCAACCAAACGTTTCCTATAGCTGCATATCAGACCTGCACAATGGTCAGGAGGAATTTTGGACCATTCCTCTTTACAAAACTGTTTCAGTTCAGCAATATTCTTGGGATGTCTGGTGTGAATCGCTCTCTTGAGGTCATGCCACAGCATCTCAATTGGGTTGAGGTCAGGACTCTGACTGGGCCACTCCAGAAGGCGTATTTTCTTCTGTTGAAGCCATTCTGTTGTTGATTTACTTCTGTGCTTTGGGTCGTTGTCCAGTTGCATCACCCATCTTCTGTTGAGCTTCAATTGGTGGACAGATGGCCTTAAGTTCTCCAGCAAAATGTCTTGATAAACTTGAGAATTCATTTTTCCGTCGATGATGGCAATCTGTCCAGGCCCTGAGGCAGCAAAGCAGCCCCAAACCATGATGCTCCCTCCACCATACTTCACAGTTGGGATGAGGTTTTGATGTTGGTGTGCTGTGCCTTTTTTTCTCCACATATAGCGTTGTGTGTTCCTTCCAAACAACTAAACTTTGGTTTCATCTGTCCACAGAATATTTTGCCAGTAGTGCTGTGGAACATCCAGGTGCTCTTTTGCAAATTTCAAACGTGCAGATAAGAACACATTTTATGACCAATTTATGCAGAAATCCAGGTAATTCCAAAGGGTTCACATACTTTTTCTTGCAACTGTATGTTGTGCTCGGGTCTCCCGTGACCCGTTTCAAGTTACAATTATACAATAGCTATGCTCTATTTTTTTTATTGGAACAAGGCTTCATGATATCCTCCACAGCAGCTATATAAACACTACAAAACTGATTTGGACCATTTTAGCCCAGTCTGAAGGTCTCTAAAGAAAAAGTGTATAAATTTGGTGCTCGGGTCTGGGGAGACCCAGCAACATGTTGTGGGTCACTCGGGGTTACATTTGGCCCAATCAAAATTCATCTTTGACTTTAGACACCCCTCCCCCACCCCCTTTATCAACTGTAACAATANACTTTTTTTCTCCACATATAGCGTTGTGTGTTCCTTCCAAACAAATCAACTTTGGTTTCATCTGTCCACAGAATATTTTGCATCCAGGTGCTCTTTTGCAAACTTCAAACGTGCAGCAATGTTTTTTCTGGACATCAGTGACTTCCTCCATTTTATGACCAACTTATGCAGAAATCCAGGTAATTCCAAAGGGTTTTTCTTGCAACTGTATATGACCAGAGCAGAAGTCTAATCATTAGCCCTAATGCACCTACTGTTTGTGTCTTTTATTGAACAAGCCAGGCTACATCAGTAGTAATGGCCCCTTCAAGGTGGAGATGCTGGAGTAAAGTGATGAGTCAGCAAGATAACGCTGCACTGGGTTGATCCACTTAGAGATGTTTCATCCTAAGAGCTGTTTTACTTACCAGGACAATTGTAACAGTGGGCACATGGTTAGCCTAGCTTCAGTGAAGGTGATGTAAAGGTAAGGTTTTAAAGATCAACCTTATATCTGTTTGAAAGGTATGGCACCAACTAAAATAATATATTAGCGTGAGCGTATAACTAAATGCTGCACTTTCACATTAAAGAAGAAACATTTTCTCCAAAAACATGATATGACCTCACTAAATGAGAAGCTTCAACGCCAAGGTAAAGCAGTTCAACCTGACCTCTTTTGAAATAGCATTACCGTAATGTATTTCCCCTGCCTTTCAGAGTGGCATATCTGCATTCCTGAATAAGAACACTCTAAAGTTTTAGGTTGGTAGGAGGAGGTGTGTGTGTGTGTGTGTGTGTGTGTGTGTGTGTGTGTGTGTGTGTGTAGCTCAAATGGGACAACTGTCACACAAGCCATAACTAGGACACCATGAATTATGCACCAATATCCAGATATCGAATGGCTGAAGCGTTACCTGTGATATATCATTTAACTGCAGCATGTTTCTGACACACTGCTCTCTATACCTTAACAAGAAAAAAATCACAGTAACTGTGAGGTGCAGGAATATCAAATGTATACACAATTCCTAGAAAAGGGCTGCTTCTTCACACACCACCTGCTGATGAAGACCATGACATGAGGATAAAAGTGTGTGGATGAAGAACCTCAAGCATGATTATAGGTAATTCTTTCAAATTCAAGAAAGAGCTTTCATGCTCCAACCCTATTGCATTTAATAAACATACAGAAGCCTGGGGTCGGACTTTGATTCAAAGCCAATATAAGATTTGTTCAGAGCTTGGTATTGGATTGAGTATGGCTGGATGATATCAATGCAGGATCTGTTAGCTCTTACAGATATAACAACCCTAAAAGCAGCTGCTGCCTCCAGATACTAACTGCCTCTGTACAGACTGAAAATGACGCTCAATGCGCAGACATGGCATCGCCAGTGGTGGAAGAAGTACTCAGATCTTTTACTTAAGTAAAGGTAGCAAAACTTATTTGTAAAAATACTCTGATAAAGGTAAAATTCCTGGATTCATTTACTTAAACGGGAGCCGTTACGTTTGGATCAATCTGCGGACTTCCTCACACACACACACATACTCGGCGGGACGTTGCGAGGCTCGCTGCTGCGTGGAGCGGACACTGTGAGCTGGCTCACTGGTGTTGGGTCGGCGAGACACCGCGGAACTCAGCCTGGGCACACACACAAACTCCCAGCCAGGCTGCGGGCGTGTGTGTGTTTGGGGCTGGGTTTCGCTGTGTCTCGCTGTCTCGCAGACGGCCACTGGGCTCACAGGGAGGGGGGGGGGCAGGAGCTCCAACAAGCCGTTTAGGACAGAGAGTGAATACACATACTATACAGAGATGCTGTTTGAGAAACCAATGTGAGTTTGGAAAATTGCACAATATAAATTATTTTAGTAGACCTCAACAATGGAATTATGATCAGTAGAAATGGCCATGACATGGGACCTTTAGGTAAATGAACAAAAGTATTGGCTTCAAAATGTACTTAAAGTACCTAAAGTCAAAGTAATTCGGAATCCTATATATTAAATGACGGGATATTGATTATTGATGCATTAATGTGTTCATCACAGCTCCATTTGGAACTCATTTTAATTAATTGTATATGGCTTCTGGATATATTTACCTGAAATTAAATGTTAATGTTCATTTTTAGTTATTAGTTGACTTATATTCTATTTCAGTTTATAATCTGAATCTATAAAGTAACAATAGCATTAAAATACATTAAATGAATACTACAGTTATGTGAAATCTGTTGATATAATACATTTATTTAAAATCAACGGTTCAGTTTTTTCAGTGTACACCAAACTGGAATTACTATCATTATACACTTCCTGTGTCTTCCATTGGCACCAGGTCCTTATCATGTTATCCCGGTGAAGACAGACCCATAACTGAACTGATGGAAGCATTGTTGCGGCATTACTCCTCCGGGCGGGAATATGTATCAGCGTCAGCGAGATTTGAAGACACTCACCCTGTTAAAGCGCTTGGCCTGGAAGAGGTGTCCGTTGACTCGGTAGAGTTTCCTCCATCTTCTGGCCCCGCGGCGATAGATCGATTCTAGGAGAGAGAGGAAACGGTTGTAAAGTAGCAACATGGTGAGGGGCTGATGGGAAATATGTGTGCCGAACAATGGGTGAGCAAGATGAGTGATAGAGAAGAGGGTAAGCTGAAGGAGATGTCCTTCCTTCTCGAGTAGTCTGAGTTCAAGTGAGGGGAAGACACACATCAGGTTTCTCTACAATGCGCACGCATCCTCACACACATACACAGCAGACACACACACACAAACCCAAAGGGCCTGTCTCTCGGCTCTCCCTTCATCTTCCTCTTTCTTCCCTAGCTTCCTCTCTTCAAAACCTCCATCCCTTCTTTTCTTTCAGTTCTGGTGATGATTGGACTCATTAGTGCTCCATAATACATTGTATTCAGATGAGACCATCAAGGTGTAGCTATTTTTAACAGGATCATGTAGTCAGCTATTATTAAACTGCAGGGCACAAACATGCGCCGGCGGTGTGCTGAAGCTTCTGTCGTCATATTAGACTATTATTTAAATTATCCCACATTGGGCTGTTACAAATGGTTTATCTGGATTCATGATGACCTGTTGAAGCAAAACTGAGACATCTACTGGTTTGATTTTATAATATTTAAAATCTAAAGAGATAAAGAAGAATATGTTCTGTATTTAGGTTCAAGTATGCTCAGATTAGTTTATACATGATGAATGGCGACACACTTGACTTGGTTACTTCGATACCATTTGGATCTTATTCAAAAAGACAAATTCTGTTCATGTTCAGCTTCATATTAGTATTTAGTTTCTTTACTGGGACATATCTCCATGCTTTAATGAGTTTAGAAATGACGCAAGATTGAATCTGTTACTTGGTGACAGAGGCGCATTTGCCAGGTGACATCTCCTAAAACGAAATGCAACACAAAAACATGGCTTCTCAAAGATGACCAGGATCCTTTATGAATCATACATATTTTCACTAAAGATGAGATGCATTACAACAAATTGGCATCTCTAGACTTTGCAGTTGCTCAGATCTGGGTGTGTACTCCCTCAGATTCTCAATATCCACTTGTAATTCAGGACTCAAACCTCACACCAGGCAGAGAAAATGTATGCAAAAACCTATGAATAAACCCAGGGAGGCACATCCACAGCTGTTGGCCCAGGTTCTAACATTCACAGCTCTGAACATCCTAGATAGGGAGAGTGGATCATGCCTAAAGGATACCAACATATGCAATGACAATTTGTAAGCTTTAACATCTCTGTTGCTACCAAAGATGAAGGAGTGCAATTGCACTCAACTTCAGGCACAGAAATAGTATCAGAATGTAATCAACATTAAATTCACCTTGGGGCACCACTATTCAAAAAATGGAAATCCTTTTTAATTATTTCAATCTCAATTCTGGAGGTTTCTACTGAGTTCTTGGCTGGTGCACCGAGTTCATGGCGGTATGCAATGCATTTAGCCATTCAACTATTAACTGAATATGGAAAATAATTAACAATATAAAGCACCGAAAGATATCTTAGTGAGATGTATTCATTTATGAAAATAAGCTGATCAGATTTTGGGCAGTTTATGATATCATAACGAGGTTTTGGCTTGTATAACCATTAGCCAATCAGCAACCAAGGTAACCCCCCCCCCACCTTATCACCTGAATCTCCTCCTAGAGCACCATTGAGTTCTTTGTAACCAAATCTCTGTCAGAGGGGCGTGGGGAGGGGCTCCTTATTTTCATCTAAAGTAACAGACAGAGAATCAGCACTTTGGAAACAGGGCTGAAACAGAGGGGATTATGGGTAATGCTTCAATGATCTGTTTGGTATTTGGAGCCAAACACTTCAGAGACATGTTTTGTATATATCTGAGACCTGTAATATATTGATGAAAAACAGTATGATAGGGGACCTTTAATAACAGACCGGTGCACAACAAAATGTACGGCTTCATGACCCAGCTCTTAACACAAAATAGCTAAACAACAATAACTAGTGACAAGAAGTTCAATATGAAACATGCCGGCCCACAGTCTAATCCATGTCACGGTGTACAATGAACAAAGTGTATAACCATCCTGCATCATGTCTGCTGTTCCTATAAATAAGTCATGGTTCAATCATCTACCAGTGTGTGGATCATCACTTTAGTAATCACTGCGGGAAATTATTATAGGCAACCATTATATTTATATTAGCAGCAGAACATTTTGATTTCAGGGTCTTACATTAGGCAGTGCTTAAAAAAGAAAACACTTTGTTGATGCTTTATCCCAGAGCAATGAGGACAGCAGCTTGGCCAGAAATGGACTATATAACTGCAGAACACACAGAATTATGTTGTTTATAGGAAGATCTTAAACTTAAAAAGTAATTGACGTGAGACAACTGTTTTAACAACACATTTGGAATAATGCGCCACTAAAACTAGTCCCAATCAAATGCCCTTGTTCCTCCTGTTTGAATAATGTCTGTAAAAACTATAGTGATCAGCTATTTAATGCAATAAGATAACATATTTGCGAGGTGTTTCTTAAGAGTTAAGTGTTGGGGTTAAGTTAAGTCTTCCTCCTGCTCGTCGAGCCATCCTAATTAAGTGGAGGGACAGTGTCCCGTCCACTCATTTTCAGTGGTTGACGGACGTAATGTCCTGCATGAAATTTGAAAAGATCAGATATTGACTTCTACACTCAAACAGGAAATGTCCTGGGGACCTTGTTTAAATGCATTCCACACTCTGTAAAACAATCTGCTATCGGTATAGCATATCTGCAGCATATGTATGTAAGTATGTATACAGTACAGTATATATATGCATATGTACTGCATGCATATATAATCATTTACCAACATTTCTGGAGAATCTTCGTATGTATGAAGCTCACTGTCAGTGAATGTAGGGGATTACTTAAAGATCACCGATTGAGCAAAATCCACTTCTTCATGTCTCTTCTACATCAACATGTGTCCCCTCTTCTTCATGTCTCTTCTACATCAACATGTGTCCCCTCTTCTTCATGTCTCTTCTACATCAACATGTGTCCCCTCTTCTTCATGTCTCTTCTACATCAACATGTGTCCCCTCTTCTTCATGTCTCTTCTACATCAACATGTGTCCCCTCTTCTCATGTCTCTTCTACATCACATGTGTCCCCTCTTCTTCATGTCTCTTCTACATCAACATGTGTCCCCTCTTCTCCATGTCTCTTCTACATCAACATGTGTCCCCTCTTCTTCATGTCTCTTCTACATCAACATGTGTCCCCTCTTCTTCATGTCTGTTCTACATCAACATGTGTCCCCTCTGTGTAAAGAGACTCTGAAAGTTTCAGGAAAAAAGATTCTCTCTCTTTTTGTCCTGATCCATTTATATAAAAACCTGTCTGAAAATGAGCTGATCAGATTTTGGCCACTTGATGATTTCATAACGATGTTTTGTTTTGTGTAACCATTAGCCAATCAGCAAACAAGGTAACCCCCCCCCCACTTATCACCTGAATCTCAGAGAATCAGCACTTTGGAAACAGGGCTGAAACAGAGGGGATTATGGGTAATGCTGCAATGATCTGTTTGGTGTTTGGAGCCAAACACTTCAGAGACATGTTTTGTATTATCTGAGACCTATAATATATTGATGAAAAACAGTATAATAGGAGACCTTTAAGTCGTTGTTGTTATTATTAGTTTGTGTTTTTCGTTGTTCTTTCCTTTTTTCTCTGTACATATAATCAGTACAAACCTCTTGTAAACTTAACCAAAATATTTTGTATCTAGATAAAGAGTTAAGTCTTCGGTATGGAGCAGTGGGATGGGAACTGAGAATCACAGGGCAGGGTGAAAGGCCAATGCTGAGTTTGGCCTTTTCATGGGAACATTTTTGCATGATATGTAAAGTCTCCAAGCCCATGCTGAGATTACCCGGATGACATCATCCAAATAGAGTGGTGAAGGAATGAGTCCTAACAAATGAATTTAGTTAGCATTTTAACGCTTCATGTTCTCTTACATGTCTTAACATGTTTTTGTTATAAGCCTGATATACAATAAGGTCTGTGGATAACACAAGTTAAAATTATTTTCACCTTTTGTTGTACACTGAAAAAACTGAAACGTCAACAGATTTCACATAACTGTATTAGGTTGAAAGCAAAAGTATTAAGTTGAACATAATATTTTTTATTTGAGCCTGATATTATTGCTTTCGACTCACCTAATACAGTTAGGTGAAATCTGTTGACATAATACATTTAATTAAAGTCAAGGTTTCAGTTTTTTCATTGTACAACATAAAACATGTCAGTAAATAGCCAAACAGTGAACATCAGATGCTTCTATGAGTCTAAAAAACAGTGGTCGCCAACAAGGGACTAAATGATACTTCTAAACGTCATCACGCTGAACGTAAAGGCCCTGACACACCAAGTCGATTTATTTTTCTATCACCATCCTTTACTACTGTCTAATCAATCTTAATCTGAAATGTATTTTGTACCATTGTTTTCCCTTGTAATGGGTCTGTGTTTATAATATTTTACGTATTAAGTAGTTAGGATTGGATTAGTTTAGTCTTGGATTACATGTAACTGGATTCCGTTATTAGGACACAAAAAAGGTAACTGTATTCCCTGACAGTTTACAGTTACTTCTCTTACATTGTGTTTTTGCTGCAAAATGATCAGATGTTATCTCTTCTCTGTCAGCTGTACTGTTCTGTAGGCTAATACTTTAGGTTTCAATCTATACGCCTACTGCCTGAATCTGCTTTATGGTTTTCACTTTCTTTGCTTCATTTGTTCTGTTTTTATTCAGCAGGTGAACCTATATGAACTCTAATGCAACGTTTCCAGGTTATAATAAGGGAGGCGTGTGGTGCATTGGGTTGTGCGTTGGTGTTGGGATCAGGGGTCACAGGTTCAAACCCCACTGCAGTCAGCATGTCGTTGTGTCCCTGAGACACTTCACCCCAAATTGCTCCTGTGGGGATTGTCCACAGTATTGAGTATGTAAGTCGCTTTGGATAAAAGCGTCT